TAATTTCAACGTTTTTTCGCCATGTCAACAGTTCTGCCAGGATACGCACGGAAACACTTGCGTTCGCTGCCAGCATGTAAACTAAAAAAGTACAAAGAAAAATATTAAAAACATATACATATTATTATGTTTGTGTGTGTGTGTGTGTGTGCTGCCATATGTTTGTCTTTTATATGTATAATATATATTAACAAAACAAAACTGTCAGCGTTGACAATTTTGGACAATTTCTGCCAAAAAAACGAAAAGTAAATATTAATTTTTTTTTCTGTATTATCAACAAAATTCTGGTTCACATGTGTTGCTATCTGTGTGGAGCAATCAGTGTTGCCATATTAAACTAAAAAATAATAAAAATAATAAAAATAATAATAATGACAATAAAAACAAAATGTATGTGTGATATACAAGCAATGACAGAAATATTAATAGAATTGTTTCCACCTTGCTGGATGAAGGATGACAGCCTTTAGAAAGCTGGGTAAGATTAGGAAGTGAACAAGCTTCGGAGCATTGTGATTTGTCGGATTACTATAAGATTTCAATTGAAATTTGGAATCCATATGTTGTTTTAGTTGCTGATATAGTCAAAAACGATTTATAAATAAGTTATATTGAAAGTAAAAAATGAAAACAAAATTTCTATTTATATATGGATTAAACTTAAGGATGTCATGTATACTTTCTTCCAATAGTTCTGAATATTGCATTAGCAAAAAAAATTATTTAAGAACTAATTTTAATATATATGCAATGGTATATAATATAATATTTTTCTTTTATTTTTTTTTTAAATGTACTTAAAATCCATAAAAATTCATTAATTGGTATAGGTTTTTTTTTATTCTTCTTCTTCTTTGCTTGATGAAACTTAATTTAGTGTCCAAAGCACTTTTTAACGATAGTGTCTATGACCACTTGAGTGATCCGCTGTAGGAAGAGCTCCATTAAATTAGCATAATAAGTTGTTCGAGTGAACAACTTACAAAAGTATAGTTGAAAGTTCAACATATCTTCTTTATATAATATATTATAATGTTGAAGCTATTTGAACCAGTCCACTTGAGCACTTTTACTCTTTCTTAATTCGAGGTAGATTTAAAACCCCTCCTTACGTCTTGCCTGAATTATTGTTTATCACTTCAACAGACTAAGCAATAATTGATCTCAGATCTTCATACCGCCCCGAGGAGCCTGTAACCATTCTAAGATTTGATAGCGCGGTGTTGGTAAGTCTGCCAGCAAATAATTTCAGGACTCTATCCTTTATATATATATATACTTAACATTCATTACATTGCAAGTGTTTTTTCACAAAAACAGATTTGTGATTTCCTGTAAAATGTGCTGTATTGCATCACGTTTTATTTGCTCTTATGTTTGCGAACTTTACAAATGACTAAAATGATAAGTTCTTAATACAGTACATGCCTCTCAACTAACCTACATACTAAAAAAATTGGACAAATAATTGCCATTAATAAATTTTTGTTTTTTAGATTATTTATTACTTTTTTCAAAGTTGTTTTTTTGTTTTTTTTTTTTTGTTTTTTATGCAATGTCATATTTTTAAATTAACACTTGTTTATCTTGGATTGTATATTTTGGTATTTTTTGTTCACACTCAATTTTTATGTGTTTGTTCTTTCCACACTTTCAACACCTGCTGTTGCTGTTTTCAAATACTGGCGGGTCTATCAGCTACTAGATAGGTGCGCGGATTGGTTTTTCGCCGGTGTAAGTCCTGCTCAACCAATTCACGTGAATATTTTTGCATTCACATCTGTTTACACTGTGACCACATACGGGTTATATATTTCAATGCTTTGTTCGACATCACTGTGTTGTCTTACCCTCAAAATATAGGGGCAGAGGAGATATGAGGAATACAATGGGGTTCGTTTGTTTGCTGTTGATAAACGCACAATTTTTGCCACTTTTCAACTGTTGACGCACTTGACACAATATCCTGTCATAATTTTCCATGTACAAATATTATTTTTGCGCTTTTCTTTGTAATGAAAAATATTTCCACTACCAAAAATGTGCCTATTTGTTTTTGTGTACTTTTTTGCTTGTTTTAATACAGAATATTTTTCATTTTATTTTCTTCTTGTTTTTCGTTAGTTTTTTCTTTTGTTGTTTTCTTAATATTTGTTATTTTTTGACACTTGTGTTTATTATTTGCTTAACACTTCACAGAATGAATGGCGTTAAAAGCGAAAAGTTTATTTATTTTCATAAGATATCGTTGTCAAAAATGTATCCTTAATATGTGCTTCAGTAGAGAATTATTGAGTTCAGCAAAACAACAAAAAAAAACTTCACTAAATAAATAAACATAGACAATAGTACTTTTTTTCTCAATACAAAAGTATTACACCGACAAGATAGCTTGAACATATCTTAAGTATTTTCAACAGTTTATTTTTATTTATTAAAAAAAATAACATTAAAAAATTTAATATTATTTAATAAAATAATTAATCCAGATAAGGACCTTAAAAAAGTGGTCCTAGAAGGTCTTCTATTTTTAGATACTTCTGTTTTAATAAAGAAAGACCACCAAACACTTTACACAGAGGCACTTCATACAAATTGATTTACTCAAATAAATTTATATGAAGAAATTAACTCCTTCAATACACTCGTACATACAGTTGATGCCTAACTTTCAACAAATAAGTGTTTTTGACTCACTTGAAATACAATTGCTTGGTCAAAAAATAAAAAAATTGTGCAACTAATCGAGTTGCATCTTAAATATTGAAAGAGACATAAAATCTTCAACAAAAACTTACCTTAAGAATATAAAGAATCCTCGTTCGTGTAAACATTCTTTATTCATTACTTACTCCTTAATTGGACTCCAATTTTATTTTGTTTATTATATTCTATATCGTCTAGTCCTATTGTGGTAGATGAAATATGTATATTAAAAAGTTTGTTATAAAATAAAGCAGCTTTGTGAACTAAAGCAACACTTTTTTAAAATAAGTAACATAAAAGAAAGATTAAAGTGTACTATGAATGTTTATATTACCAGTTTAATATGTGTCATTAGTAGTTATTTTTATTTATTGACCGAAAATAATTTAAAACTAACATTATTTAATAAAATAATTAATCCAGATAAGGACCTTAAAAAAGTGGTCCTAGAAGGTTCTCTATTTAGATACTTTTGTTTTAATAAAGAAAGACCACCAAACACTTTACACAGAGGCACTTCATACAAATTGACTTACTCAAATAAATTTATATGAAGAAATTAACTCCTTCAATATACTCGTACATACAGTTGATGCTTAACTTTCAACAAATAAGTGTTTTTGACTCACTTGAAATATAATTGCTTGGTCAAAAAATAAAAAAATTGTGCAACTAATCGAGTTGCATCTTAAATATTGAAAGAGATATAAAATCTTCAACAAAAATTTACCTTAAGAATATAAAGAATCCTAGCTCGTGTAAACATTCTTTATTCATTATTTACTCCTTAATTGGACTCCAATTTTATATTGTTTACTATATTCTATATCGTCTAGTCCTATTGTGGTAGATGAAATATGTATATTAAAAAGTTTGTTATAAAATAAAGCAGCTTTGTGAACTAAAGCAACACTATTTTTAAAATAAGTAACATAAAAGGAAGATTAAAAGTGTACTATGAATGTTTATATTACCAGTTTAATATGTGTCACTAGAAGTTGCTTTTCTTTGGATAATACTGGCATTTTCGGAAGCTCGCAAGTATGGCAAAAAACGCATGCTGGCTTATGTTCACTAAGCCAGACATTGGCAACACTCCTGCGATCTATCAAGTGTTATGTTTGAGCTTATTATAGAGAATTGCTTAATATCTTCAATCAGCCACAAAGAGCTATTATCTGGTTTAGTATTAAAAGATAACATTATAAAATTATAAATTTCGTAAAAGCTTGAAATACCAAAGACGTATGTGTTAATACAGATTAATTAAAATAAAATAAAATACTGAAACTTTAGATAAAATAAATTTTATAAATTTAAAATAAAAAAATTTTATAAATTTATAAAAAATTTTTCTAAATTAAAATAAAAATAATATCTTCCCTTCTGATATTAGGAGGTCCTTAACAGACGATATTCTGGCCTTCATTCGGAAAGCGGAATGCCTTCTGTTCGGTTAGGGTCAGTTGTAGCACAAAAGATCAATGTGGTCGTAGTGCTCTGCTCCGGTGGGAGCTAGTACCCTGTTTATTCTTATTATTATTATAAATAAAAATAATCGGACTCAGCGAAAAAGTTGTAATGTAAAAAAAAATGTACAAAGAAGAAGAAGAACAAAACTGCACAAGGATTTCAATAATAAAAAACTTAACTAAAAGCACTATAAAAAAATCTAATTGGAAGAAAAATGTGAAAAAAATTTTAATAGAAAATTCAAGTATAAAGATTAAGTAAATAAAAAGTGCCACATAACAGCACTAAAGAAAACAGAAACACAGAAACGTGTTTGTAGTACACTTAGAAAAATATGCAGGTAGTTCAGAAGATATAAAAACCAACATGTCGAATATGTATATTCAACTGAGACTTACTTAAAATTTTGTTAAATCAACTAAATTATTTTTTTGAGTGTATATTTTTTTAAAAATATTTTTAATATTAAAATGTTTCTTATAATTAATATGACATAGTATTATATTTAATTGATACTGGTATCTTGTAACTTAAATCTGAAATAGTAATATAAATTAAGATAATTTCATAAAATATAATTAGTAAAAATTGATAAAAATACATCCCGCGTTTCTAATTTTCAATATTATCAATATAATGTATCTAACCGTATTAAATCTGAATCAGTTCATAGTTTAATATTTTATATTAATAAATATCAAATTCCAATTAATAATAAATTAAATTTCAATTAATAGTTATACAAACTTAATTCTAAACTATTTGACCACTTAATTTTCTGACTAATTAATATCAATTTAACTTCATTCCAATTTTAGGTTATTTGGTTTAAGGATACAATGCAAATAGATACCACTGAACGACATATTATGGAAAATCGCGGTTCACGTCACACACTCATTATACGTAAAGTACATCCACAAGATTTCGGTAATTACTCATGTGTAGCAGAAAATCAACTTGGAAAATCACGAAAAACTCTTCAGTTAAGCGGAAAACCCAATATAGCTGTTTTCAATTCACCACAAATCAGTCAATATAAGGACAGGTAAGCATTACATTTGCACGTACAAGAATCTTTAATTTCCTTTAACAATTTGACAAGCTCATTTGCTTCCCTCTTCAACCTCTTCAACCTCTCCAGCCTCATCATCCTCTGACTCTACTTACTCGCTTCGTTGAAAGTAGGAAGGCATTAAAATTTTCTCCATAAGGCAAATAACTAAAAACATCAAAACTGGAAAAATCCATTTCCTCACGTAAAATTGACGTGCAAAACTTTTCTTTTTGATTAGCCCCATTCGGTAAACACAACTAACCAATTTGTGGCTTCCCCAATGAGGTCAATCTTTTGTTGGTAATTAAAATTGATAGTTTAAATAAGTATTAAGTAAACAGTTTTAGAAAAGAAATACAAAATTAAATGCCGTAAAAAGTTTTTAAATATTTCAATGGCGATTTACTGAAAAGATTTTGTTGGTTTCGTCGAAATCGGTAATTAAATATTTGTTTTGAAATGTTGTAAAGTTAGTAAATGTTTTCAAATCAGCTTGGTAGTTCTTAATACATATACAAAAAGTATTCAATATATTTACAAATTAATTAACATTTAATTCTTAAAGGTTTATTATAGTTATTATTAAAAGTCAAGATCTACTGCAAGCAAAATGGACATACCATACATAGTGATCCACTTAGGCCTTTTGGCCCATTATGTTACCATAATATTAAAAATGTAGAGGTAACAATCACTTAGAACCTTTGGCAAAGCTTATAATGTTATTTAAGAGGAAGTCTTTCAGTTTGCCAAGATCCTCAAAAAAAAAAGCCTCTAAAGTAATAAGGTGGCGCCGCTCATTTTTTGAACAAAAACAAAACAAACGGGGACACTTTCATCGTCCTCTGCACAATTACGACAGGTATAATTGAAAGGGAGACTCAATGTTCCAACGTATAGTTACCTAATCTATAATTACTCGTGAGTAAACGTACTATAAGTTTGCTATCTATACGGAGGGCCTCAATGAGAGAGTGGGATTTCCTTTTATTGAAACGTGGCCAAATGGCATACAGATGCCTACTTATCGTTCGGCACAAGAAGAATTCAATGAGAGTTTGCGTGATATGAACGATCTGCCCAGATTATTTAGGTGTTCCAAGTGATTTCTTGAAGCACCCCGTCTGGCTAGCTCGTATGCTTTGCAATTGCTGAAAATATTTTTGTGACCAAGGATTTTGATAAGTTTTAGAAAATTTAGAATTTGTTTGTGGGCAGTTCATATAGATCAATAACGAAATCATATATATCATCAATTATATCAATTACATGTTTAACACTTTGTCTGACAAGAGATCTTCATTTAGAGTTATCCATTTAGAAACGTCCATTCAGAGACGTCGATTGATAGACGTCCATTCAGAGACTTCGATTCAGAGACGTCCATTCAAAGACGTCGATTCAAAGACGTCGATTCAGAGACGTTCATTGAGAGACGTCCATTGAGAGACGTCCATTGAGAGACGTCCATTGAGAGACGTCCATTGAGAGACGTCCATTGAGAGATGTCCATTGAGAGACGTTCATTGAGAGACGTCTATTGAGAGACGTCCATTCAGAGATATGTATCCAGAGACTTTCATTTCACTTTACAAAATTAACAGAAAGACCTAACTTTGTTAAGTGGTACATCAGTTGCCAAACTAACCAAATCATGTAAACTAACCAAATGGAATTTATAAGTTGTTTTGCTTATCAAAACTGGATCTCAAAAATTTAATTCAACATAAAATTTTGTTGTTGTAATTCACTACTGTTAGAAACCTCTTTATTATAAAAATCATAAGTCCAACACAGCTGTTTAAACTAATTTAAACTATTATTAGTGACAATTTTAAAACAAATATTGCTGAATGACATTATACGATAAAAATCAATATAATTGCATTATGAAAAGTCTTTTCTTAAGTAGTTGCTTAAAACAATACCACTTACATACTCCTTAAGCGCCACTAATCCTTTATAGCAGGGTGCTAATCATGTAAGTGTAATTCAAGTCACTTGCAATCAATGAAATGAAGAAAATATTAAGAGCTCGTACGTTGTTGCAACAAAATTTCAAACAAACCAATTGTGAACTCACTTAAGTCAAGAGAAACTTTTCGCAGACGCATTGTTGCCAACATTCCAGGCAATCGTTGCACTTAAATCAATGGAGAAAGGAAAGTAGGAAAAACGTTTTAACTGCATTGACTAACATAGGAGCTGCAGTTAAAATCAAACGTCAATGTCGACGAAAGTTTCATTTGTCGCTACGTCGCTGTGTACTTTTTCACTTCTTGCCCTGAAGTTGAGAATTTTACTTCCAGCAATTTGTGTAACATTTCTGTTATTCGTCCGCATACTCAAACTACTTCAAATCGATACAATATTACCACTAACGGAAACAATTCCAATTTAGCCGGAAGTATGTTCGCATGTAGTTACGTACATATCCGTTACTTGACGCATGTTTTGGCGCCGAACAGTTTCAATTTGTACTACACAAATTTGATTTCATATTTTTTTAGCTTCCTTTCCATTATTTTGTACTCTGGTTACTCTTTCTGGGTTACTCACAGTCCATGAGACAAACAGTCCTTGCTTTCCGGGCTCACACCAATTACGTACTTGTCGTGTTGTCTTGTCTGGCGAATATAGTTTCTGTCAATTGTTAATAATCATTTTTATTGCTGCTTACTTAATGTTCAAAACTTTTTGATTGGGATTTTTTATGTCTTTATTATACCGTTTTATGTGTGTAAACACACACTGTGCGCTAATCCTTATAATTTGTACAATGTACATATTTGTCTTGCCCGCTTTATTTATTATAAATTTTCACAAAATTATTTAATATGTACATTTTCAGTCGATTACAATAAAATAAAACAAAGAAATTCTAATAGAAAATATATGAATTTCTAAAAAAAAAAAAAGCAAAAACGAAAGAACAGAAGAAAGTTTAGTTGCGTCCTACACTGCGTATGAGTAACATTTAATTAAACACAAACAATGTTGCTCGTTTGGCAAGATGTGCTGTTGCTTGGCCTGAAGTTTTGTATGCAACAAAATACAAAATATTTGTAGTCCTGTTTTGTATATTTCGTTGCTTGTTTATTTGTTGTAATTGGTGATGTTTCGTTGTTGGAATGTTGTAGTTTCCGTTTATTCCGTAATGCCACGAATGAATATATGAATGCTCGTATGTAAATATTTCGTGTGGGAATGTGAAAAGTTTTTGTGAGGTTGTAGAAAGTTTCAAAATTATAGCAATAAAATAACCAAAAGAAACTTTTCTTTTATTCTAAAAAGTTTAACTTGAGTCGAGTGACGGTAATATAAAATTAAGCATTTTAAGATACAAATATTTATGCAACATTATTTTTGATTTATATACGAATAGGAAGTTGCCCAATATTAAAGCGTTCATAGTATACATATAATATAATAATTTCAATTTCGAATTTATTAGTTTTAGAACTGAAAGAGAGAAAGAGAGTTAAAAGAGAGAGTTAAAATACAATAGATTATAGTTGATGAATATTGAAACATTCGTACTCTTCTGACGACATCATTCATACTGAACGTGATCTTAGTTTAATGATCATATCTATTGCACGTGATCTTATCTATCATATCTATTGCATATAATGAAAAAAAATAATGATAGTGCAAACAGTCCCATCAATTACGCTAATTAAACCACGTGAAATTGTTTGTTTAATATTATTGTGGGTTATGTGGACATTTCCTCCACCATTAATAACGAAAGTTGACCCAAAATAGATTATACGCGTAGTTAATGCATAGGTTATAAAAATTGTGTTGTTCTAAAGATATAATATTCTTATACTTTTAAGCTGTTTTTAATTTATTGGAAAGTGATAACTCTGAAGGTATCGCACTCTTGTATATTGAAGCTTATTTTACTTCATTGATCACGCTATTTTTCACTGCAACCTACAGATCTGTAGCGTCCAAATAAAGCGGAAATATGTAATCGATTATAGCTAAAAAACATTTCTGCAGTATTATGAATAATTATTATTTTGTTGTATTTTAGATATTTATAATTCTAATATAATATACATATATTCTAAAACATATCGGATTTGTGTGCGAATAACTCATGGATTCTACACAACAGAACCGGTGCTATGCATTCTGCCGTGTTTAGTCGTTGTTTTTGAACAAGAAATCCTTGCGATTTCTTTGGGTTTAAAAGATTTAAGAAACTAATCTGCGGAATGTGTTTGATAAGTCGAGACGTTATAATAAAACAATCATTGATAGCTCTGATAGCTATACAAAAATTTTATTGGAAAAAGGTTTCGAGGATTAGATCAAGCAATAGCTTAACTGATTTTACACAATAAAGATTATTTTGAAGGAGATATAGTACTAAATATCAATGATAGCCATACAAAAATTTAATGATACGAGCAAGAAAGGTTTTGAGAATTTGATCAAGCATAATTTTAAGTGTATTTGGATTTGATCAAACATTACCTTAACTGATTTTAGACAAAGATTACTTTGAAGGGAATAAAGTACTAGATATCAATGATAGCCATACAAAAATTTAATGATACGAGCAAGAATTGTTTTGAGAATTGGATCAAGCACAATTTTAAGTGTATTTGGATTTGATCAAACATTACCTTAACTGATTTTAGACAATAAAGATCACTTTGAAGGGAATAAAGTACTAGATATCAATGATAGCCATAAAAAAATTTAATGATACGAGTAAGAAATGTTTTGAGAATTGGATCAAGCACAACCGTGACTGGATAGCATAACTGAATAACGAGAAAGGAGTTACTTTTTTCATAGTATTCAAGTGAAATTTGAGTTTTTCACAGCTTTGAGCACAACTAGACAAGAAAATATTAAAAAATTGCTTGGCTTTTTGTATATGTAATAATATTTAGCATATTTCCCTATCCTTTTTATCAAGTACATCTAAAAAAAAGTACTTTATGGCAATTACTTCTGCCTGAAATACTCTAAGATGACTATTCAATATAACCAAAAGTTTGTGGCTAAATCCATTACCAACAGTACCACAAATAAACATAATTCTAATATGAGTAAGTTTCGTATAATTCTATTTTTCTGAATTATTTCTAATAAATTTTTGTTGGCACATAATAAACTCGAATATGTATCTATCTACCATATAATTTTTTATACAAAATAAATAAAAAAACTGTTTTATTGAATAATAAGCAAATATTTTCACAAATTTAATATCCTTTTTGAATTACTCATACTGCCTGTTGAAACCAAAAGTTCTCCACATTGGAGACGCATTCAAAATGCATGTACTTGCCATACAATGGTGCAGTGACTTTGTTAGCTTAAGGACAATAAGGAGTATTCGTAATGAAAACAATATAAGCATTTTGGTTGAATGCACGAATTACGTCATTGTTGTGGTACTAGAGTGTCATTGTTTTTATTATGTTTGTTTTGTTGTTGTTAAAACGAAGGAATAACCACAACTACAAACAACAAAACAACGCCACAACTCGAGTAACTTCTTGCGTGAAGTTGAAGCAACAACTCTATTCATATTAAGTTCATTTTCAATTTACTATACCATGCGAGCGTTATCCTTCGAAACTCCTTTTGTGTTGTTAAAGCTCTGTAGCTCTTACATACAATGTAAATAGTTGTTGTCATTGTTGTAGTTTGAAGTCAGTGCGTACTTTGTCCTTTCAACGGTTACACGATATGTTACATTAAATTTCAGAGTTCATTCAATTGAATTGACATTTCAAACTAGGGACATCCAACCTCATGAGACTGTTGCAAAAATGCATCATAATAGTTAAACTTAAATGACATAAGTTTTTTGGGGTTTCCTACATAGTTTTTAAAAACATAAATATTTAAATATTTTTTACTTAGAAGTATTATTAGTTGTTTAGTATGAATGTTAATTATTTATAATATTTTATTGAAATTTTTATGGGATAACATATTACATATGTCACATACTATATATGTACATAATATGTGCTCTTTTGCTTCTTTTAATTGGAAGCAGAAGGTTCGAAATGGTTAAGATGGAACATTTCATTCATGATATGACATAAATCCCAGAGGATAACTAAATCAAATTATCACACCTCATGGAAATAAGTAGCGCAAACTATGGTGACCTTATGGGACGTGTAGGTATTAATAACACATGATATATGTGTAACGTTCAGTTGAGAGTAATCTAAATCAGACATTATTTTTTTTTTTTGTGATATATCCTTCATAAAAAAAATGTTAATCCTTCATACTTGCAGTTTTAAAAAAACTATTAACGAATAATTAAATACAAGAACTACTTCAAAGACCACTGATGTTAGGTATTTGGCAATACTTGAAACAACTGTATGTTCAGCTAAAAGTTCAATTAATTTGAAATAATAAAAAATTCTTTTTTAATGTAATTTCACTAGAGTCCAATAAAAACATATCCATTGAAAACTATAGTTTATATCAAGATTTTAGTTTCCTTTATCGAAACTGACGTCAAAAATCATCTTTTTTTATCTTCAGTAGTATCTGTAGTATCTTCTTCTTTCTCAGAACTACAAGTTCTATAGTAGATACTGGATTAATTAACCATTTTAAAAGTATTGATATTAGGACCTAAACACGCAGTTAAGTTGAGTAAAATTTAATATTAGTAATGGTAATTTTTTTTTGCGGATAAACACGAAAAGAAACTATTTAAAAGTAAGAAGGGTTCGAATAGAAATGAAAAGACAACAACAAATATTTTAGTTAGTTTATAGAAATTTAAATATTAGAGGTTGCTAAGGTGAGCTTATACCCTTTAAAACAGAAGCATTGCTAATGTTTTTATAAAATGTAGCTATTGATATAATAATAAATATATAAAATTATATTCATTTCCTTACGCATTCCACATAACTTCACTCAAACCGAAGATAATAAAAAATTAGTTTTTTGTTAAAATAAATTTTAAAAAAATCATTATCATATTTTCAAATCTGTTTCTTTGCTCTAAGGTACAACATTTCGTGGACTGTAGATTCGCACACCCCCATAGAAGAGTATAAACTATCATTTCGAAGGTTACCACAAGGACATGAGGTTGACAATGCAATTGACTCACATTCCCAATCTTCTTCACAATCGCTCATGTATGGCAGTCACAATCATCGTATCAGTAACGGCATGGTTATGGGTGGTAGTCTTGGCGGTTATGGCAGCGGTATGCATTGGGGACGCAATGAGTGGCGTGATGTTGTCTTGCCAGCAATGCCATTGTCACATCATTATACACAAGGCATGAGTTACATGATACGCGGTTTGGATCCAGATCAACAATATGAAGCTAAAGTACAAGCAAGGTAAGTATTGTTTTATTACTGTTGTATGTTAACCACTTTTATTAGAGTCCATAGATGAACTAAAGTAAAGTTATTTAAATATAGTTTGAAAAATTAGAAAAAAAAAAACTATTCATTCAATTTAGTACTAATACGAGTAGTGAACTTGTTGTTAATATGAGAAAGTTTTTACTGATAACCACTTTGTTTGCGTGTTTACTAATTTTATTGACAATCGTGCATGTCCTTGTTACTTACTGATGTGCTAACATGAAACTTATTTAATTAATTATGTGAGAAATTAATATAACTGGTCATATTTGAGATACATATCTTTATGGAAAATATTTTTAATTACAGTTACTCAGGAAAGCGCTAACATATTATAGATAAACACAAGCGTTTAATATTTTGATATAACGATACCATTTATTATAATTCAATGGATGTTAACCATTGCATTAAATAATATTATGAAAGAATTTATAATTCAATTGTAATATATTTAATGCTGAGATACATATTTTTAGAGCCAAACTAAAGTAGTTATTTGGTTTCCGTGTTTTTTTTCCTCTTCTACTCAGATAGAAGTACAAACACAGTTTTATTTTGACTTTGCCAAAAATGTATGTGAGATACAAAGTGTTTATTATTATTATTCTAAATAAAAATTATTTTAATACCAAACCAAACCACACTTAATTTAATTTTTCATATCCACCATTAAATCCCCATTTATCAATTACCAAACGACCGCAACAATTATGAAGAACTCTTCTTTAAATGCTTCCCTTCTCCATGTCTAAGTATCTACAAAATTTAATTAATTAATCATTCGATTTAAGTATCTGTCACTATCTTACTCTGTAAAATATTTACTAGGTACTCAAAATCTTAGTATGAACATACATGTATCCATTGAAATCAACTTTAGCACTACATAACTGTTAGATTGACATTCACTAATGTCCTTAATGAGATTAAAATTGAGTCATTTAATGTAGTATTTTATGCTGATATCTATCAGTTGATTAGAAGCTTTCCTTTGCAAATGCACTATATATAACGTTCACAAGTAACTGAATTTTTGTAATTAAAAAATTTTAAAATTTACTGATAAACTGATGAGCTTCAATTTTGCATATATGGGAATATGTAGAAAACTTTAATGGAGTTTTCATATTTAACTTTTATACTGAAACTTAAAGAAAAACCTCTTTTTATACTCACATAAAAATATACAAACCCTTAAAACGTATAACCTTAACAAAAAGTGTCATCCAAAAGGTTTACGTCCTAGCGCAATAATCTATTGCGTATAGAAGTATGGGACTTGAAAAATATATGAGTACACTCACCGTTTATCTAAAGTCGTAAGCGGTATGTAATGGCCATGATAAAGCTTACAAGTTCCACCATTCACCATTCCATTGAAGTAGTGAGCGAAAACCGATAATCGTAAATAACAAGGACCAAGTTTAGATGGACTAAGGGTGCTAAAGAAAATATCTTCTAGTAATTATTAACAATAAATAGTATTGAATTAAAATAGATAATGTATTGTGTTAACTTAAATTTACATAAATCTATTTGAAATAATAGCTATAACTTATATGAATAGAACTAGTATGCCTCCTAAAAGTTTAAGAAATAAAGTATATGCACATCAGAATATATTAGAAGTATAGTGATTCTTGAGAATATAGCCATTAAAATAACTTAAAATAATAATATTAATCCTATGGATAGGGAATGATTTAGATATAAAAACTTTTATAACGTAAAATATTTTTTACTTTTAGAAATCGTTACGGCTGGAGTGATGTCACACATAGTTTTTGCTTCACAACGTCATCAAATGGTATGTAAAAATTTATATTATAAATCTAATATTTTAATTAATTCTGTTTCAATATAATAAAATAAATAAATAAAATTAATGGTTAGTACAATATAATATAATTTTTTTTTATTTGTTTTTATTGATTTTAAAAATGCGTTGAGGGGAAACCCTTTTGTTGCATCATCTTAGAACTAACTTAAAAACTAACAAAGAAAGGGATTTTTAAATTATTAATTAATAAAGCGAAATAATTATAAAAATAAAAAATTGTATTAAAAATAAAAATTGAATAATATTACTTTATAATATCGAATTAATAATGATTATTATTATTTTTAATAATTACATTTAAAATCATAATTAGACATGATTTCATTAATAAGCAAATCAAAAGAATATATTTTCATTGGCGATAGTTTTTATAATTGAAATTAATTATAACACCCTACACCGCTAGACGAAAATCCATTAAATAATTTGAATTCATTTCTTGATTGCATGCATAATTATTTCACATTAAGTTTTACTTCCAACCGCAGTGCAATCTGCAGTCTTCCCAACAAAATCGCATATTAATTTGCATAAAAGTAATGCGCTGAGATACGATGAGATTCACATGGAAGCCAAATCAAGCCGCATGTGAAAGTCTACAAATCCGGATGTGACGCAATTTTAAAGCATTAAAATATTACAACTGCATATGCAAAGGGTTAAATTGCATTTATTTTCAGTGTAGAATTACAATAATAAATTTCAAATGTCAAATACACAAACCGTCGGGATGGAGTAAATACGCTGAAGTACAACAGTTGGCGTGTATGAACACGTCAGATACAAGTAAACGAACCATGCATACGAAGACTAATAATGTAGCACTTATCTTACAACACAGTAAGATAACAAAATAATGCATAAAAAATGATAGAAAAAAAAATGTTGGAGAGAAAAAAAAACAATAAATAAATAAATAAATAAAGGAATGGAAATGAAATGAAATTTCTTTATACGCAGATACAAGATACAAATCTGTAACCACATGGCATGGAGCATATGTTCCTCGTTGTCTTGTTTGGTTGGTGCCTGACAAATGCAATGAAATGCAGAATCACAAACTGTAAAATGCTTTAAGCTACATATTCACTCATTCATTCATCCGAATTTCACTTAAATATTCATCCGATTTGTAACCTAAGCACACCGAGAAACAAACTGCAAAGATACAATGCCAAATTGAAATTAAATAACAAATGCAGTAAGCAAATTTGTGTGGATTTGTTAGCATAAAATAAATACACAAATTCGGAGCTATTCACGCCTTCGTGCCGTACTCCAGTGCATTATTAAATCATGTTTCTGTAGATTTCTTGATTTGTTCATTTGTTCATTTCGTAAGCTAGCAGATTGCGCTCAAATTAAATTTAACAAATTAACAATTTTGAGCACGTTTATGGCACCAACTAAAATCAGATACACAGGCACACAGATACACACGCACACATACACAGCGTCAAGCAGAAGTCAACTGAAATACAAACAAAAACAAAATGCAATAAATGCACAAGTTACTTAGTAATAGTTATGAAATTTGAAAGCACTGCATTTATCATACAAACACACACACACACAAGCACATACTACATATTCAGATTCATCCTTGAAGATACATTTTTGTACTTAGTTAGTATCTTAGTTGATTTTGGTATCTCATAATGACAACTCGTTAGTTTCGTCTATGAAAAAGTAGCGTTAAATTCTTTAGCATTTGTCACATTTGAAGGAGCAATTCAAATGTTAACATACCATACACACACACACCCACACACACACACACTCAGTCAAAGAATCTTCCATTTTCTTTTATTTTAATGCAAATTTCATTAAAGTTTTCCTACTCGAATCATTATTTCATATCTGTGATTGCACCAAGAAATCTGCATAAAATTGTTGCACTGTCTTAAACACATCCATTTCATTATTACACATCTTACAATCCTTCCCTTCTTCCTTTCTTTCCGTCTTCCATTCGTCCTGCTGCAATACTATTTCCACTTACTCCCTTCTGCTTTACTTGTACATATTCGAATTGGTAAATCGCTTCAGACGTTTCGAGGTGACTTCAATGACATTTTGTCGTCTTTTCTTATGGATAGCTAGAAGCTGGTGCCTTCATGCTGTGCCTGAACTTGGAGTGTCATGTTCCTACGTGAAGCGAAGAAGAAGAAGAACTTTCAAATTTAGTTTGCGGTGGAAAGTAAATGGAATCAACAAGAACTTTGTCAATTGCTATAAATTACTTTCATATTTGATATGCAAAATAGTTGCACATTTCAACTTACTCAACTTACTCGGGGCCATGTGACATCAGTATGAGGAGTTACTCCTTCGAACTTTAGCTACTACTCTTAGGCTGTCACATTTAATATGCAATTGCATTTGCCATATTTATAGATTTCGAACATATTTACTTTTGGAACTTTAATTTCAATTAAAAAAATCATTTATAAGTGCTTGGAAAACTTTTATGAATTCACGAAAGACTTTTTAGTAAAAATCGTTTACAACAGCAACTATTCGTTTTCACGTATTAATATTTTAATATTTAGAGTAAATTATTTATATATTGATATTCAAAGTACTTTCGAGACTAGATAGGATTTTTAAGAAATATTTAAATGTAATGCGGCCATTCAATCATATTCCATATTTACCTAATTTGCATAAAGGTATGTTTTAGGAAGCTCATACCATTGGATCTTTGCATACATTTGTCGATGAAAAGAAATCGATTTATAAACGTAGTAGCTACCCAAGAGGTATTCACCAAGATTTTGAAGTATACCCGAAGTATATATCAATAAAAACTCCTTCAACTACTAGGAGGAGCATAAGGCCGCAACTGTGAAAATCGTGAAAGTTCCAAAAGTGTCCCTATATTACCGGTCCTAAATCGTGTGCCAGTTTCGAAAATAGATAGGACTTTCAAGAAATATTTAAATGTAATGCGGCCATTCAATCATATTCGATATTTACCTAATTTGTATAAAGGTATATTTTAGGAAGATCATACCATTAGATCTTTGCATACATTTACCGATGAAAAGAAATCGATTTATAAACGTAGTAGCTACTCAAGAGGTATTTACCAAGATTTTGAAGTATATCCGAAGTATATATGAATATAAACTTTAACTCTTAACTGCTAAGAGTTGCTATTATTTATTCTTGCTGTTTCGGCAATTATTTGATTTAAAATTGATAGGTGGTTAGCCCATCGCATTCGATTCTGTCTGCCAATTATTGACTGCAGACAGACAAGTTATGTTGTCACAGTACTCCGTTTAAAGGTATATTAAGCACCTGCGTAAGCTATTTATGGTTCTTTCGCCACCATTATTAGATATAGAAATGAATCTACGACATGACTTAAGTAGTTTAATTGTGGCTCAGTTGTATTTCCTTTTCGATCTGAATACTAAATAGCCCTTCTCCAAATGATCTTGTGTTCTAGTTAATAATCAAATTTTTTTATGTAAGAGTCATTGTATTATCTTCGTAAATTACAGAAGTCTGGGAAATTACTTGATTTAGGTTGTTTAATATATAACCGTTTTGCTCTGACTCATTTCTTTTGTTTGTGTAAGAACATTATAACTCATCTTATATCAGATACTAATAATAAATTGGCGTCCTCGAACTAAAAAATTTCTAAATTTCTAGATAGTTCTAGACTGACTTTGTTAAACAGTTTTAAAACTATCTGCATACATATATGTAAGCTGAATTTGATAGAGAGTATATTTAGCCCATAAACAAAATAAAATAATAATTAAATAATTAAATAATAATTAAATAATTAAATAATTATATTATAATTATAATTATAATTATAATTATAATTATAATTTTTCATCTGTACATTTCTAGCTATAGCAGCGAAACTAAGTAAGTTACATTAACGTTATGTAACTCAAAATATTGGTACAAGTTTCACCTTTAATTGGATGTATAATACACTACCGAGATAACTTCAGAAAAAAAGCTATGGGAGAATATGCAGGGTGATGTTTTGAGAAAAGTCAAAATAACGGTTTTTTGCAAATATCTCGAAAACGGTATATAGGAAAAAAAAATCGTTATGATTTTCGTGTCCTACGGAAAATTTCCCTATAGAAAATATGAGTCCCGTCTTTGGAAAACAAAACTTTTAATTATTTGTAAACTAGTGTTATTAGTAAATTGTGGCTCAGAAATGAAAACAAGAGATTTTCCTCTCCATTTTACAGAAATCAGTTTGAATATATAATGTATATTTTGTTTAATAACTAAGACCAGGTAACATGAAAATTAACAGACTGTTGATCATGACTAACCATTTAGAATCTAAACCTTCTGTATAGTTTCTGTAGCAAATAAACCTTTCCTGTTGGCAATCCAAGCAGTTCATGGAAGCAACAAAACAAAAACATGAATTTGCAATTCTCTCATAAATTGTTAGTAATTCAAACTACTTCTTAAATTAACAACAAAAATGTTAATAGATTGAAGAGCCTAAATAGATCTGAACTCAGGTAAAATACTGTCCTTTTAATAGAATATGGTCTTGTTAGTTTCCACGTATGTAATATCCTCCTAACCATTTTGTTAGTAGAATTATAACAGATGAAAGAAATTTCAGACATCTCCGTAGAGAAACGCCACTGAAACTTTCATCTGTAACAGGCTTCAACAGACGGATGTGCTACTGAGCAAAGTCCATTCAAGCCCACAAAAATTTTAAGTACTCAGTCACTTACTCTTAAATATTGTACATTGTCTGTTCTTAAGTGACAGATCGTAATATAAGAAAATAAATGAAAAAAAAAAGTTTTCACCGTTCATTTAATAATACTCAAATATAAACAGTAATAAATAATACATATAGAAAATAATAACATTTTCCACCAAAATTGTTTACCGATATATATGCAGCAAGCAGAAGAGATCAGTATCTTTACCAGATGAATGATTACCTATGGTAC